TTTCTTAATTATTTTCTAGAGTGAAAAAAAAAATTTTTTTTTGACACAAAAAATTTCACTTATTTCAACAAAATTAACTCTCTTGCTTTAAAAAATACGTATCTTGATGATCCAAGAAAATTTATTTGTTAAGAAAATCATGTTTTGATAAAATTCAGCCTCTTGCTCCAAAAAATTAAATATCTTGATAGTACATTTTCACTAATATTTTTATTGATCAAATGTCAAACTGGAAGATCGAATAATATTTTTTTTCATTCAATATGTATAATTGCACGCTAAAATATTATAAAATGGGTGTTTAATATTCAAGAGAAAAATTTTTTCAAGATGAGAAAATTTTTTTCTCAGCCGAAGTAGGTGGTGCTGCTTCCCTAAAGTATCTAAAAATCTTGATCAAATATAAAAATTTATTGTATCAAGTATTTATGATAATTTGTATTAAGCAAAAATTACTTCCACCAAAAATAGAATTTCAATAAAAATTTTTACTTCGGCCAATACAACTTCGGTCTTCTTTCAGGCACCTGAAAATTTTCTTGAGCCAAAAATTTTGTTCTTCACTCAAGAAATTTTTCTTTCTGTGCAAGACTCGGTCAGACAATATCTTACCATTGGGCCAAGCCTCTGCCCGGGCTGGGTCCAATGGTTAGCACCCAAGTCTCGGCAAGTGACAACTGGTCCAAGGCTCGGCCATTTGTCAGCATTGGTAAATCCTACCTGGGCAGTCCAATGCTTTAAATGCTGGCACTTTGGACATGTTGGGCCCCAATGTAAAAGCCAAGTAGATCGGTCTAAACTCTGCATCAGATGTGGACAAGAAGGGCACCGTATCGCTGACGGTAAAAATCCTGCCAAGTGTGCAATATGTGCTGAGCAGCAAGGAGCAAAAGACGTGGCTCACCATGATGGCACCCACAGATGCCCGGTATTTCAGGAGGCGCTCCAGAAGTTGACGAACAAACAAGCATGAGGATACTACAGCTCAATCTCAACCATTGTGAGGCAGCGCATGACCTGCTCATGCAATCCGTGTGATAATTAGAGCTTGACTTGGTACTGATAGCAGAGCCATATAAACACCTGAGTACCCAATCCTGGGAATCTGACAGCACATCCAAAGCTGTCATCTGGTCATGTGGCAAGCTCCCTTTCCAAAATGCAGTCGACAACAGAAATGCCGGCTTTGTAGCAGTATCAGTAGAGGGCATCCGCTTCTATAGCTGCTACGCACCACCTAGCCTCTCCATTGTTGACTTCACTGATTTCCTGGATCAACTAACCGAAGATGCGAAGCAATACCATTCAGTAGTGATAGCCGAAGACTTCAACTCCTGGGCAGTTGACAGGGGCAGCAAACATACAAACGCACGAGGGAAAGCACTACTGGAGGCCTCTACTACACTAGATGTAGTCTTGCTCAACAGTGGTGATACGCCGACCTACACCAAAGGTGACGCAAGCTCAATTGTAGACCTCACTTTTGTCAGTAATAGCCTTGCTAGGCGACTGCAACTGGAAAGTGTTGGACATCTACACTGCCAGCGACCATCATGCGATATTCTGGAAAATGTCAAGCGACCAGAACCTCAAGAGACCAGTCAAGCAGTCTAACATCGTTGGTTGGAAGGTAAAATCTTTTGACCCAGAAGCATTAGTAAGAGCCCTCGATGGTGATCCGATCAACACTGGATGTCCAGAAGAACAGACTAAGGACCTGATGAGGAGAGTAACACATGCTTGTGATGCCAGTATGCCTCGTAAACGTGGCATAAATTCGAGACCTTCGGTGCATTGGTAGAACGACCACATCAGCGTCCTCCGTAAAGAGTGTCATAAGAAAAGAAGAATCTCTCAGCGCGGCTATCAACGGCCCAACTTAGTGGAGCTGATCACAGAGTACAAAAAGGCGCGTCGTGAACTGAATAAAGCCATCAAAGAGAGAAAAAGAAGATGCTGGAAAGAGCTTATATACGAGGTGGATAAAGACGTGTGGGGTAGGCCTTATAAGGTGGTTATGACCCACCTGAAAAAACAACAAATGCCATCACCTACGTGTCCTCAACTTCTTCAGAAAATCGTCACTGCAGTGTTTCCACAGCAATGCAACTTCGATTACCAGTTGGCGCCAGGCGAATTGGATGACATCCCACCTGTCACTGAAGAAGAACTGCTGGAGGCTTGTAACCGTGTAGGGAATAATAACGCGCCGGGATTGGACGGAATCCCTAATTTAGCCTTGAAAACCATCATAAAGGCAGCTCCAACATTATTCCTAGACGCTTATAATGCATGCCTCAAGGAGGGGACTTTTCCTCGTAAGTGGAAACAGCAACGATTGGTACTGTTACCTAAAGGGAAGAAACCACCAGAAGAACCGTCATCTTACCGACCACTTTGTATGTTAGACACGGCAGGTAAGATATTTGAGCGCAAAATTCATCAACGAATAGATGCAGTAGTCGATCCACTCCTGGCAGACAACCAGTATGGATTCCGGAAAGGACGATCAACCCTGGACGCGATCAATCTGGTTGTTACTACGGCCCAGGAGGCAATTGCAGGAACCAGATGGAAGGGTGGCACAAAGAAGTATTGCCTGGTGGCGGCATTAGACATTAAAAACGCCTTCAATTCCGCCAACTGGAACTGCATCATGCAAGCTCTTCGAGAGAAAAACGTTCCAGAATACCTGTGTAGAATAGTGGCCAGCTATTTCACCGATAGAGTTCTTAAATACGACACGAAGAATGGTCCAAAAGAGTACGATATTACTGGAGGTGTACCCCAGGGCTCTGTACTTGGTCCACTGCTGTGGAATATCATGTATGATGGCCTATTGAGATTGAAATTGCCAAGAAGTGTAAAACTCGTAGCGTATACAAACGACGTAGCCGTAGTAATCGTCGCTAAACACCTTGACGAGATTAACAACATGTTCGACATCACCTTCGAGCGAGTCCATCGGTGGATGAATACGGTAAACCTGCATCTGGCTACACACAAAACTGAGGCAGTGCTTATATCCAGCAGAAAAGTATTAGAGACCATCAAGCTGAAAGTCGGCGAACAAGAAATCATATCACAACCTTATATCCGATATTTGGGAGTGATGCTTGATGCCCGTCTCAACTTTTAACAGCAAGTGGAACACGTCAGTGCCAAAGCGTCAGTAGTGAGGGCTAGTCTCGCACGACTGATGCCGAACGTC